TGGGGGGGTCTGGCCTTGTCAGATGTGGGATCCACTTTAATTAGCTAAGGCTGTACTGATCTCCCTGCCTAAGATAATTAAGTGCAGCTAGATAAATAAGTGAAGGTTGAATGCAAGTTGTAACAAAACCTGACAGAACTAAACTGTCAGAATTTTTCCCAGTTTCCATACCCAGAGTGTTGCTACTTCCCATGGAAATGGGGAGCCAGCTCATCCCAGGCCACCCCTACTTCACCCATGACAGCATTTTTTCGTGTTTTCATGACCACTTGTCTGTGCTCATTTTTGCCCCTTAAGAGAAAGAGAGCCTGTCAGAGTTAAATGTCTTGCACAACACCACAGCACATTCAACTGCTGTGCTGCAACCTAGGTAGGCCTCTTGGCCTGGAATTCAGTGGGCTGACCAATTAGCCACATGTGTTGCACATTGTTCTGTGCATCTATGCTTATTATATCAAAGCTCGGTGAAAGAGTATGATGTTCTGTACTGAACAAAATGTCATCCTTTCTTAAGGTGACTGAGGCTATGACAGAAGAGATCGGCCGACTGGGATTGCTGGTGAATGAGTTTGATCATCCATTCCATCCTCATCCTGGTTTCCTTAAAACATACAAAAAGGTGAAAGTTAGGATCAATTTCATTACCTGAACAACTGTGTACCCACCCCTCCCCTAACCCAAGCAACAGCCAACTAATAAACAAGTCAGGGTTCATGTTAGGTTAGGGGAGGAGTAGGAGGGGAGGAGTAGGAGGGGAGGAGTAGGAGGGGAGGGGAGGAGTAGGAGCGCAGGCTCTCAGATCCTTACTCTGATCAAAAAGTTTCATGTTTGGACAGTCTCACAGAGAAACAACAGCTGCAACGGAAGGATAAATGAAATTGAACACTTTATCACTGCTAATGTTGCATATTGTTGATAGGAGCTGTACAATCACTTAGAGAAGGGCTTGGGAAGGAATATGACGGCTCGTTGTTCAAATTCTCAAACACAAGTGATTTGTGAGGCGCAGAGAGAAATGGCAGGTCAGTGTTTTTAGGAACTACTTTATATTAACATGAATAAGATGCGAGTCTACATGTATACGCATGTCAGAAAATTTCTCAACTGTGTATTATTTAAATTACTTGAATTACAGTGAATTAAGTTGAATTACAATCGAGAGTGTTGCCTGGTTACTAATGCGTTACCGACTACTAAAAGGACAAATGATGATAATGATGTGTTCACAAGGAGAGAAAAAAATCCAAAATTCAAATACATTGTAGTGCTTTAATGAACCAGCGTAGTAAACGTTCCTTTCCAACAGAAAGCTTTTCCGTATTCTGCCCGCGCGAAAAGTGGGACGAGGGCAAAAAAGGTCTAAGGAGAGATGGCTGGGTTTGGAGAAGAGAGAGCGCTTGCAAGAAAACCCCTTAGTGCTGATAAACGCGTACCTACTTTTCACGGTTTATTTCATTCGCTTATTGACGGCCTACGATCATATTAGGCAATTAGAGATTAGTGGAAGTAAAATGTTGCTTCCTTCACTTGATTGCCGTGTCAAATCCGTGAAACTGAATATCGAATCCGCAACAGGTTTTTTCGGTGTTTTTTCAAAGCTAAATTTGGAACAGCATCTCAGCCTGGTAAACCTAGTTAGGTTTCTATGGAAAATCTTGTTACAACATACAAGAATAATCACTAAGAATTCACACCGAAAAATCCTCGAGTTAATACTTCCATCTTCATTTTTTTTTTTTTTTTTCATTTAAGTCCGAAGACTTGCATTTACCGGTCGAATAGATGTACATGTTACCTTTTGGATACACGCGGCTAAATGCTGTCCAAAACTGCTGCCAGCTAAGGGCCAAACCAGATATTTTAAAATACAATTTTAAAAAGTGTGGAACAAGCTGACCTTAGCCTCGTCCAAGTTTCCAGTATCTGACTTTCGTCTACAATGCATGCAGCTAAACGGATGTCTCGCTCTCAGCGAACTGGAAAACGTCTATCCACGGCGGCTTCAGTTGACGTGAATTTCCTCAGTTGAATATCGTCGAAGCAATCCAGCTTTTCAGTCAATTCCCATACTGTAGAATTCTCCTCTATCACTTGATTAAGAATATGCTTTGCAGCGGGGAAAGTACAATAAAACTGGAGAAGCCTGTTCTTCCTTGCCGTTTACTTCGCATTCGACACATCATAACAAACAACTGAAAAATGAAACTGACGGTGAATATATGAAAATCATATTTGTGAACTGCGGGTTAAGAAATTAATATCAAAGCGATCTTCGCAGTAATGAATACTACTGCGATTGTGAAAATAGGGCCTGAAAATAATTCAGGCCTGTACGGGATTTGAACCCATGACACCTGATGTAAAGAGATATGAGTCATAAATGTATATATTCCTTTTTCCCAGATCGTCTTCGTAGTCTTCTTCCGCCTGAAACGCCGGAGGTATCTCTTGAGCCTGGCACTCCAACGTGAGTAAATTGTGTTCCATAACCCTTTAACCCGAACATCAGTATGCATATTCTCCATACTGTTCTCTATACATTTCCCAAGGTGCTTACAAGGAGAATTTGTTGATTAATTAAGGGCTTCTCTAGTTGGTGTTCTTCTCCTTTATTCCTGTGGCCTTAGTGTGTGATTAGCTCCACCCTAAAGGAAGTATTTTTAGGTCCATAATTTTATTAGTTAGGTAATACTATCAATTATTGATATAAACATTATCTTATGTTTATACATAAGTCTTATTTTATACTATATTACAACTATTGCTTATGTATCTTTTTATTTTATACACGACCCCACAAGCTGCACAGCTTCAATACTTATCGTGTCTAAATAAAGGTTTTACTTTTTACTACTAATTAGGGGGTGATATTGTAAGGAGAAATTAGATGCTGGTCAAGACATTAGGACTACTGGCTTTAGGAAATCAGGAAGGAGGTACCCAGGAGGGGAACGCAATTTGCATCTGTTTTTCCTGTAACTGATTTCTTTATCCTGTTTTTTTGCTGTAGACTTGATTTTCAAGCGAGCTATAAACTGGATGTGCCCAGCCTATGCACAGATTTTCAAGAAGATATCGAGTTTCACTTTTCCCTGGGCTGGCAAGCGATTTTGAGGAAATTCTTGGCGCCTCATAATGCTGGACTTGCCATCGCTTTGGGAGCGAATGTAAGAACACTCCTCTAGAAATGAATTATCGAACTTACCGATTAAAATAGAAATTACCTTAGTCTGCCATATCCTTGTATATACACCTTTTTAACTCCAAGGTTGAATGCTCTTACTACCGCCGAAGACACAAAATCGATCAACTGTATTCCGGAATGATCAAAACCTTTACTCCATTTCGGAAAAAGAAAGACAAAGGTTGCGGTTGCGGCTGTAATTGGTTTCTCAGTTGCTTATTACTGTAAAGTTAATGGTAAAGTTCGTAACGAAATGAGGAGAAACCACATCCTTGGAGAAGGCTTAGCACAAAGAAAAGGAAAGGGAAAGATAACTTGCTTTCACTTGGAATCAAACCTAACACTTTCCGCTCAAGAGGCGAAATGCAGTCTGTTGTGCCACAGTGGCACGGAGGTCAGATCCATATCTCGCCCCTCGATAATTTATTTTATGAGTTTAGTAGCTCTTAACAACTTTGCTTTTGTTTAAGATTCAACAAAATGTGCAGAGTCTAGTACCTACCACACAGCCGTGTTCCACAGAGGCGAGAGCTGGGACTAGTTCCCAGGCGAGTTCAACACGTGACGTTATGAGACGTCACGAGGGTGATGATGTCACCTTGGCTGTCGTGCAAGGGTTAGCTTCACTGACGTCACGTACTGGTACACTGGTAGTCATAGTTGGAGGACTGGTAAGTACTAAAATATTTCTCGATTTAGAGAACCTCAGAACAGAGCAGTTAAACGTTGGGCGTGTGCAAGGGGATCTATTCGTGCCGGCCGTGCGTCAGTTTCCTGCCTAAAATTTCAAAGGGAATCATTCGAAACAACCGCTGCCTTGCATAGTAAGCGAAAGAAAATTGAAACGTTAATAGGAATCTGTAAAATGGAAGCAAAAGTAGGGAAATGGAAAACTCGAGAATTTTCTAACACCAAGCTTATTCAAGTAAGGATATTCTGTTGATTACCATTCTGTTTTGAGCTTTAACAAAAATGTTATTCGCTTTTAAAACATCGTGATTTAGTGACTTGTGTGGTTGTTTGCAACTCCTATGAGACAACTTGTATTTGACAGCCTGAAAGCACACCATTAAGTTGTTACGTTCGCACATGCGCATATGTTTGACTGCTGTACAGACATAGTCGCATCTCCTAAAAATGCGATTTGAGTTTCCGTGCAATATTAAAGATATGTTTCTGCCATGGCAGATTTGGAAGACTGTGGGATGGAAGTTCATAGCTTTGTGTGGTGGCTTATACAGTGGAGTGTATGTGATAGAGAGGGTACGTTGGACCAATGGTGCTAAAGAGAAAGCCTTCAAACGACAGTTTGTGGATTACGCTTCTGAAAAGCTCCAGTTAGTAGTCAGCTTCACAAGCGCCAACTGCAGTATACAAGTGCAACAGTAAGTTAGGCTGCCATGTTGATTTTCGAAGCGTTTTTAATGGGATTGTTGGTTAGACTTTCTTTTACCCACAGTGCCTTGTGATCGGTTTTTGTTTCAATTTGTGCCACGTGGTCTGGCCAATCAGACGATGTTCCTTTGTTTGGACCAATCAGGTCGCAAATCGTTCAAAAGTTGCGAATTTTCCCGCGGTGTACACTCGGTGTCTGGCCAGTCAGACCATGTGTCTTTCTTTTGACCAGTGAGGTCACAAATCGTTTAGGAGACGTGAATTTTCCCACGGTTTACGGGTTTACATTAAATGTGAAGGAACCCCTTGACTGATTTCTGTCACGTAACAGCACCAGTTTAAGCCAAAACTTAAGCCATTTATCCCATTGATACCTTTCTACTCAAGTAATTGTCGTGTTTGCCAAAATGCTATCGTCAGCTTGTTCAAGTTCAAGCTCTGTAGCTCACTCTCTTGACTTGAAATTGAATTTTGAAACGGTGCCATAAGGTGAAGGGCTGGAAGTGTTAATTGGATAGCACAAGGGTAGTAACACAGCGATTCCAGAATAGTCTATGGCTGTTTGCTTTTACATCCATTCTGTATGCTATTCTAAGCATGCAAAACCTCAAGCGTCACCACCTGTGTTATACTTTAATTTCTTTGCCAAGAAAACAATGCTATCTGGTGATAACAGTGTTCGTTCGCCGTCCTGTTCAGCTGACTTACGGATTGATTCTGTAGAGGAACTTTTACACCTCCATTGCCTATGGTTTAACTGAATATCACGAGTTGATTAATTCCTCACACTTGTGTGCTATGTTGATCCTGTTATGAGGATTATTGCTTCTTAATTCCTCTTGTTTATATCATGCGGTGTTATCAGCTTAAACTCAAATATTAGACCGATTTTCTACAAGTTCAATTCCGGTCTTGGCTATGTAATCTTGTTACAGTGCGTGTGTCGGCACGTTCGCTTTTGATGTCGCAGTGTTTCCGCGGTTTGGAGATAACATACAGAACCAAATCCCCGATTAGTTTGCAAACTGGTTATTGTGTACTTCAGATGGAGAAACATTTTTATTGAATTGTATTTCAGAGAATTGACGTCAACCTTCGCGAAGCTTAAGTCTCTGGTTCAGAGGGCAAAGGAAAGTTTGGAAGAAAACATCATCGAACTGTATAAAGAAATAACAAGGCTTGAGAAAATCGAAAACGAGGCGAAAATATTAAGGTAATTCTGTCCTGCGTATTGGCGAGTAGTGTTCAGTAATTACAACAGCTGTCGCACAAACTGAGGGTTAGGGAGGGGAGGGTAAAAATTAATAGCGAGTTGCCGGTGAGGTGAGGAAAATTTATTTTCTTTTGAAGCTAAAGGCATTTTAACCGCTCTCTTTTTATATTGGGTTGGCATTCTCTCTAACTAAAGGGAACAACGCGACATGGATAAGGCTAAACTCCCGGGTTAATAGATTAGCATCCTGAAGAAACGATCTTGTCAAATTGAAAGGAAGAGGGAGAATTGATTGAAAATTAACCTTTTCCCCTTTATAGACCACCATTTTATTTTAGGAAAGATTTTTGTCAAGGGGGAGGGGAGAGTAGGGATGGGATTACCCCTCCCTCGTTGACAGTCTACCACGTCATCCTTAGAGGAGAGATTCTCGTTGGTAAACATGGTTTCTAACATTGGAAATTTGCAACATCAGAAGTTCTAAGGGAGATCGCTTTCTGTCCATAGGAACAAAGCAAGTTGGTTCGAAAGCGAACTGTCCCAATTTATCACCGAGTTTGGCTTGGAAAAGAGCAAAATATGAAATCTGGTGAAGTGAAACGCTCTTGAACGCTGGGATGTAGGCTTGAAGGCTGCCTGCCTGTCAGTTATGTAACTTTAATGAACGATCTTTACAGTGAGTTTAACCATCGTTTATGCACAAATCCTTCGCTCGTTGTAGATAATGATTATAATAGCAATTTTGTGTTTGGTGCGGAAAGAGCATACTTGAACATAATGTTGTAAATAGTCGCGAATTCGAGTTATATTATCTACTATTCAAGGGTTGTTTTACATAAAATGATGTGTTCATTAAAAAGGCACCCGAACATTGAAGTTGTAACGAGCATGGGCTCCATCCATTCCCATACCAGGGAACCCAGTAGATTGGTAATTCACAAAAGCGAACTGCTTTCTAAGCGTTGTTTCTTTCTCTCCAGCCTTGAGAACTCTTATTAGCTGAAAGAACACCAAGACTTTGACCTTGGGAATTTGTTTGCGTCAAGAGGTTGATAGTAGCCAATAAGATGTCGCTATGCCCTGAGACTTGGTCACCAGGAAAACTAAACTAAGTGAACTCATTTATATGAAAATTGATTTAAAGCGAAGGGCTCTCCGGTAACCTGCTTATGTTTCGGTTTGATGGACGATTTTAATCTGTCTTATTTAGTCTAAAAGCGGCATGAAACTTCACGCTACTATCTGCGCCAGAAACGCTAACAACGTCTCCACAATCGAATTCGAGATTGACTGTAGTTTACTACAAATTCAAGTTTCTGGGTCCTACTGATTCTGATAATCTGTATCGAGTCACCGAATGCTGCGTAGCTCTTCCACCTCAATTAATGTTATCTCGCTTACAAATACAATGGTCTGAATTTGTCCGTTCTCTATCTAGGATATTTTTTTTTTCTTGCCGAGAATGTCTGGCAGGGCTTGTACTTTAAGGCGGTTAATAAACAAGAGAAAGGTATTTTGCTGTGTGTGGTTTTTTCACCTTCTGCAAAATGTGGAGTGACTTTGTGATCAAGCTGATGGAATTTATGTTATCGAGTAATTTTCTGTAAGATTATTACTTATTATTACCTGAATGTTAACCTCAGTGCATAACATGACATAACATGTCATGCGATTGCGGCTGGACCAGCTAAGAAACTGCAGGCATTTTATTAGAGCGAGTTAATGTTACAAGATCGCGATTGTTTATTCGACTGGCATTATCTGATTTAGAGTCAGAGTGGACAATGGAGAGGGAGCGGGGAAATGGCTCCCCACCCCCCCCCGTCCATTTTCATTTCTTCTGACCGTAGCTTCAGCCCCCAACCCCTTGGAACGGATTTCTTTCTCTCCCCAGGCGTCCGCTGCAGTAAAGCCTTCGCTCGCTAAAATTAGTGCGCCTGCTCTACACGCTACACGAATTGTAATCGCCTTCGATTGATCTGAATCAATCGTCACCAGTTTTCCTTGATTTAGCTTTTACATTGTCGGGCTGCTAGGAAGGCGCAGTACACTGATGCGGCATGGGCAACATTCTCTGATGCGCGATAATTTGACACGAGTGAACCAAATAGATTTTCACTGGTTGATAGTGTCTTTTATGACGTCTTCTGATTGTCCTGGTCTGATGCCCCAGAAAAGTTGAGAGGTTATTGTGAACAATTCGCAGCAGTCCCGTTAATTGGATAAGGCGCGTGAAAGTTTCTCTCTTTTAATCCTAATTTCAACTTGAATGACGGATTAACATTTCGGCAAGTCTGAGAAGAGTGACAAGAATTTTTTAAGACTGAAGCTTTTTTCCATAATTCAAGTTACCCCTGAGATAAGAATATCAACTTTATACGGTGTCAGGGAATGTGATAGCTATTTTAACATTGTCAAATCCTCTTTCTATTCTGCTGCACACACAACTTCACTGAAAAGAAAGACGCCGTGGCAGTCAACCACAAGGAACACATTCCTACACGTAGCTTTGTTGTTTGTTTACATTAGGGTCGAAAGTTATTTTTACACCGCGCTTTTACACCAGCTGTTTGTCTCCTAATTGATTTGTGTCAAAGATTAAATGAAATCCTTTTTTCCGTTTGAATCGTCTCTATTTCTGTTGTATGATGGCAAGCGTTCAGAGACTCGTGCCAGCCAGTGGCGTTTACAGTCTATTGTTGTCCATGGCCTGAGTGTTGGAGCTGGAATTCTCTACGTTCGATGAATTTAATAAGGTTAGTTATATCTTAACAGTTGTTCTCATGAGTCTCCGATGTTACCCTTTCCTTACTTCTTTTATCAATTTTGACGCTTAAATGAAGTAGGAAAGGAAGCGATTAAAGGCCATTGTTCTGATTCGGTATTTTCAACTTCACCAACATGAGAAATATCTTTATCATATACCCTTAGCCACCTCTTTGACGTCTATAGGTTCTGGTCTCTTGAGCCAGCAGAGTTTATAGTTCACAAAAGTTCTTTCAGCATGAATATGGGCTTAAAATCGTGGGCAAATTTCCCTTGAGAAGATCTACACCGAATATTCTGAAAGCGGAAAAAATTACGATAGCGTAAGTTGGTCCAAAATCACCTTCAATCGAGATGTGTCGGGCATCAGATCCACACCTGCAAGCGAAGATGTACTGGGAATGTTTTTTTTGAGACACTGGGGTCCGTTTCCGGATTGGACAGTCCGATTTTAGACCGTTTCAGACTGTTTTGGAACGTGAATGACAGATTTCGGACACTTGCCCCCATTTTCGTGCAGGTCCCATTTTGGACACTGGCGTCCGGTGGAAATGTCCAGTGAAGGACACTTTCCTTCCATGTTTTGGACGGTAGCTTCATGATTTTAGGACAGTTCTTCTGAAGAGTGTGGCATGAATTTAAAGAATATAATCACTCAAATGAAACTGATAGAGTACACATTGGTCTAAGATTTATCCCTGAAATTATTCGGAGAAGCAGGATATCTTGAATTCGTTTGTTTCCTCCTCTTCGTCTGAGATGTTTAGTTTTGTTTTCGATGTGGCCTAACAATTGAGGCGGTTTCTCTGAACTGTATGCACGAATAGATGATTGTGATAATCTGATTCAGCCATTTGCGTATCAATCAGGCCAAGTCAATACTAATTAAATGAAACATTTCTACGAAATGCAATTAGCTGGCACGTGCTATTAATTATGAGGTCAGTAGGGTCCCCGTCATCTCTTGCGATTTTCTGCTTGGGCAGCCAGTGACCGAGCGAGTAGCGAGAGCTTGGAATCCCAGCGCAACGCTCTCCCTTGCTGATCTAAAGGTCTGGGCTCGGCTACAGGCGTTTGTAATATAAATAAATAATATAAATAAATAATATAAATAAATAATACAAATAAATAATATAAATAAATAATATAAATAAATAATATAAATAAATAATATAAATAAATAATATAAATAAATAATACAAATAAATAATATAAATAAAGAACATGAATAAATAATTTATTTAAAGTTGATAATGTAGAAAGTGATTGCCCAGTCTTCTGAGCCGGTGGCTTAGGTTAAAAACACTCAACTCCAGATCGAGTTCGAATTTGGAATGTTGGTTTTTGCGGAGGGAGGAAAACCGTAGGCTATACGAAATATAAGGCCTATTTTTCCCAAAAACCGTCTAAATCCCGCACGTTTTATTTTTCTGGTTAAATCTGCGATAAATGTCCCACAAGTTTTATTGATCAAAAACAAAATGCGCTATTGGTCCATGTTGATTATTAACTCTTCAAAGCTGGCTTAAGGTTATCATTCCACTTAGACTCTATATATTTTATGATATCCTCAAATCTGGATATTTTTCGCGCCAAGGCATGGACAGCACCTATATCAGGCCGATATTTCCTCTGTTGCATGCACTGAAGGGGTGTTATCAGATGTTGTCAATCCCTTAAAGATTGTTGTAATACCAAAGCAAATTGACCCGCTGAATTCTCCGCATCTTATCCAAGGTTTATTGTAATTCATTTCCGATTAGACTGAATTCAGTCTAACAACATCCAAGGAAATTTTGCTATGTCTGGTATTTTTCTTTGATAAGGTGCTTAACCCTTGCAAATGGCTTCTCTTCGGAGTCAGCCCACATATATTACTCTTAATCTGTTGTAATCTCATTCTTGAATACTTACATTTGTTATATAACAATAGTAAGGTCATTGTTTCATTGTTTGTCTTTAGGAAGTAGTATTTGATCTTCTTCGAGTATTTTCTTTCAAATAACTCTTTGAATTTCGAGATACTGTTAATAATGATAAGTAAAGATAAAGCTTTTGTGAAGAGGCTAGAGGCTGTATGTCGGCCGCTCTATGGTCTGGTCGGGACGACATAAACTATGACAAATTACGATAATCTAACTCATATAAGCCATTCCTTCAACAACTGAATGCTTTTATACATACTTTTCTGACGGATAATTACGTTCCTTGTCGAACTTGTATCCGTTAAATATTTGTACTGAAAGCTCAGATAAAGATTGTTTCGTTGATAACGGGTTCAAAGTTTTAAAGTTTGCCGCAAACGTGGTTGGTATCTCTGAGGAGGTCTAACAAAACTGATTAGGAATGATTCTTGTATTTGAGGATCGCGATAAGTCTGGTCTTGGGTTTGTCGTTATGATTTGAAAGGATATCAATTGTCTTGCTGAGGCGCAGTAGCATGTCTGTAAATGTAAAGATTTTGTTGAATTATTGGAAAAGGAAGCTAGTTACTATCATCTGAGAATTTCTTAAAATTTCACAAATTCCTTTCGCAAACTTAAAATGCTTCCTTGCTCCAAGTAGCACCCAAATTCCTACTTTTTTTTTTTTTGAGAAAAAGCGGCAGCAAACTCAGCGGATCAGTGTTAAAAAAAATTAATCCAGATATAATATTTTCAAGACTAAAACGATTGAACCAGAGACAACCTTTCGCTTGCCCTTAAAATCTCATCGACATAAACACAAAATTATTATATTGCATGGTGCGTGATAATCTCCTACAACAGATCTATTTTTAGAGATAGTATTTTTCCTTTCCAAGTATTCTCACCACACGGAAAAGAGGACTCCCATTGAGAGTACTTAGCTTGCTACACACAACTTTTTATTTTAAACCTCAAAACTTATTTATACCGCTCTTCGTTTGTCTGAAATGAATACCATCTGTTGCTTATTTTGTGGGGAGTTGGGTTAAACTGATCCGGAAGCTAGGAATTAAAACCGTCTTTGCTTATTGCCGCTAAAAAATATCATAGTCCTGTGTGTTTAAGTCATCTAGTAAACCCTAGGTTTCTGTCTGTAAGAGGTTTCAATGGTGATCTTTGTAACGCATGACGCCAAATGATTTTCATAGAAAAGTTAACTTGTTGAAGCTCGAGGAACAGATCTCTTTAAATCAAATTGTTTGTGACAAGTAGTTCAGTGGGGCTTTTTTGAACCCACATTATATATGTAACGAGAAAATAATACCGTTGAATAGCCACAAAGTAACTAAAGAAACACGAATGGAATGTCGTGGGGAACAGTGCTCGAAAAGGTCTCCCAACGGCAAAAATTCTTTCTTCAAGTGCATGTTCTCTTTAGAACTAACAAGACGCTTTGAAACAGCCCGGGTTATATCAATGTTTTTAGTATGATGATAAAGATGAATGCATATAGTCGCAGACAACCTGAAGCCAATCTGCCAATTCAATAGAAAATATTTCCGTTATCTAATTCAAAAGTGAGTAATTGTGGTTTCCATGGAGGAGATATATGGAGGGCTTTTTCTTAATCCCCTTGCCATCCAACCTTGATCATTTCGATAACAATGCCTTCAAGTGAAATTATTTACTAAAAAATAACTTGGATACATCAACAAAGTTGAAATGGTAAACTTACCATTTCAACTTTGTTGATATATCCAAATTATTTCGTTACTCCCACCGACGCAGCCCCAAACAGTTTCTTTCGAAACTATCAGCCTTTATTTACTAACAAGTTTCATTTCCTCATGGTTGAATTGTTATAAGAGAATACTTCTGCCCTTATCGATCAAAACTGTTGTTTTACCATCGACTTCTCTGAAATTGCCCCAAGTGACGCGTGTAAGATGACAGTTCACCTGCCTGTTTCACAGTTATCTATTACGTAGATCATCAGAGACGTGTTTTCTTTTCAATCTGCCTAAATATGGTAAATTTTGCAGTTCCTTAGGGGTCATTGCATTTGCCACATTAATTACGTAACCACTTCCTGCATTCTTGATATTCATTTGGGTGTGAAAGGAAAGTTTTGCTTATCTTGTATCTCCAAAGACGAATTTTAATTGCTTTAGAGGATGATGCGGTTGTCCGAAAATTAGCAAAAATATTTTTCAGCTTGCCTGGGAAATTTTATTCTTTGGCGTTTGTTATTAGAGTGGCAGGAATATAAAGGCAATGAATTCCTTGGTAGAACAAAGGTGTTAAAAATACGCTTCAGGTCACCTCAGCTTAAGTGAAATAGCTCTAATATGATAATGAAAGACAATTAACGATAACTAATCACCTAAGTGGGTAGTTATTTCTCATTATCACTCCGTTGGCCAAAGATAGAGAAGATAAAATGTTTCATGGTTCAGGATTCAGCAGTTATTTTTTTACGTGTCTCAGCAATCCAGAGAGAGCACAAAGGTTTTCTGCTTGCATTGCGGCCCGTCCCTTTTAGTGTGGTATAAATGTTGTGAATCGTCGCCGAAACAGTTAATTTTGTATGAGATGCATATTTTGTTGGGTGTGAGTGAGACAAACACTTCCTGCCTCTTGAGATGAAAGCAAAAGAAAGTAAAACTGATACGAGTAATGAAATTGAATAGGATTACACAGTATTATTATTATTATTTCCCTAGCACCCGAATAAACAAAACTGCTGCTATCATTCGGTGCAAGACCATATACGAAATAATACCTAGGCTCAAAGTTTTGTTAATTCTTTGAGTTATGTTTTTACAGTAATATGTTTATTTTTCTTCTTAGACGGATGTTTTTGTTAAGAAATAGAATCCAAAACATTCGACAGGCTGGGACAGGAAGTTGCAAAAGCCCATGAAAGTAGTTGGCGGAAATGACGTCATTAGGTATCGGGGGTACAGAAAAACCCTCAAATTTTGTTTGAAAGCATCATCTGCTACATCTGCTATTCAAACACCTAACTTCTTCCAGCAAAAATTTAAAATTCAAACAATACTGACTAGCTTCCCTTTCTAATAAAGTTGTTTTCATTCAAGATTTCCCCTGATTTTGTCTCGCAAACCGTTGTTTTGAAATCCAGTGCTGATTGGTAGCTTGATGCTCGCAGTCGAAACGTGACGAACTTTTCCTCGTTCTGACAATCATTTCATGATCTCTCTTGGACGTCTCGCTAAATTAATTAAAGAGCGGGAGTATCAAAGTCGGCAATCGTTATTCCAACTGATTTGGGAATTGTTTACCAAAAGGACACTCACTTTCGTGATCCTGTGTAAGATAGTAACGTTAGCGTACGCTGGAATGTTTCTTGTTCGTTACACTGAAGTCTGCTAAAATCTTCCTTTCGTTAATGAAACGACGTCATTCTAAACCAATTATTTTGAGCAATACGGTTAATATTTTTCTTATGTAAGTGCGTCACAGATCTGTGGCATGCGTTACAGATCTGTGGCATGCGTGAATAGATGCCTCACAGATATGTGTGCTCAGATGGAAGAGGCAAAACGTGTTGCGGTTTGGTCATAAATTGACACCTCGTTACAGTAATGATAGTTACGATATGTAGACCATGACAGGAGCCGCCAGATTTTGCAGGTTTTTAAAATGGGAAAAAATTAAGCCGATTTTTCACGTTTCAAATGAATGCTTGAATGAACAAGTGGGAGTGCTCAGTGAGGAAATTGTATGTACAAGATTGACGGATCTCACAATATCATTACGTGTTTAATACATGTAATCATTTTGGTTATCCGCATCATTTATCTCAGTATCCTTTTTAAAGTAAACTTCGATCTCATTTATGAGTCATCTATATGGCAACCAGAGCTGAATCGAAAAGCTGTAGCAAACTGTTGTTGTAATAAGTGATACGCCCAGGATCATCTTCATGGCTAAATTAGTAGTTGTAATGAATTTCCTGAGCCACCATTGACCAATATAAAGGGATTTATTAATTAACTTAATCAAATTTGGATCAGTAAAAATAAAACATGACAGCAAACAATTTGCTGCCAGATCGGCGATTTGCTGTACAGATCTCTTCTGTAAAAGGATTTGTATCATAATAAATGGTGTTTTCGTCGAGCGTTAATCGTTTTGTCGTAGCTTGGACACCCGTTGGGTGGGAATTGTACACCCGTGTAACCGGTCCATGCCTTCCTCAGCTCTTATCATAGTTCTACAAGGTTCGGTCTTAACTGCGGCGAAAAAGATTAAAATACCAAATTCCAGAGGTGTGTTGGAATTCATAACGCCTAAATATAGACAAGGGTAAATCGCATTTCTGCTTGATAGCATTTTTGAGTTTCCAGTGAAATTTTTAAGTTGAAGGTTACGCTCTAAGATTGAGAGGAAAATCGAGATCCGTTTGAGTACGTCATTTGCAACTTGACTGTAACGCTGGAGAAATCAAGTGGATTGGAATTTTTCTGCGTAATTAGGATATTACACAACAACAAGTTGTAGACAAAAAAAATAAGATGTTTTGCTCGTGTGATGGCTAAGGATTGTGATTGCAACACATCGCGGCATAAATTAAACAGACATGTCCATCTTTCGGCACGCTTCAGTCGGAAAAAAAGCGCCCTTCAAAAACAGTGTACATTCCCTCGCGTTATCAGTTATTTATAAAGAACTTTGGCGTACATAACTTCGCACTTTTCAAGCTCAGCTATCGACAGACATATTACAGTTCGAGTGGTTGCATTTTCCACTATAATACGGTTTGTAAAGCTGTCTTTTTATCGTATAAAATTGTCATTGATGCGAATTTATTTATTATTTTTAGTGTAGGCGATAGGATGGTAACCCTTACGCGATAGCATTGCTTGACATCCCGCAGGGCTGATGCTGGCGCAGTACATGTGAGACACATGCTTGAGTGGTTGGGTAATACGAAACGGGATACTTTTCCACATGCCTCAGAGATAATGCGATCAGATCGCAGTGCAATTCAGGGTATAAATTGCGCGAGTCGCCTGACACAGGGTCGTATTTTCCGCGAATGCTGAAACAGATCGGGTATATAATCAGTATAATCACGCGCACAAGGAGGGAAACATAGCGCTTATCAACCGGAGATAATATCAGTATTTGACACAAAGCGCAGCGTTCGGCAAATACTTCATTGCTGACTTTACTCAACGTCCCACAGGTCGCGACACCTTCACAAAGCATAAAGTATGGAGCAGAGTTGGCAAATTATGCTTGTGGTTTTTCTGCTCGCAATCTGCAGCCTGTTGTCTGTTGGTAACACCAGAAGTCTGGCATCTTTAAAGGTAAGTCCAACACAAAATTTAATTTACTTCGAATTCTTCGTATATTTGTACTATCGACTATCTTTTGAAGATATTTCTTAGTCATTTAGGAAAGCGATAGTACTGTTAAGTAACTGAAAACACCGAAAAACCTTGACTCGAGGAAATCAGAGTTTAAGACGTTTTTTCTTCATCCGTTTGTACTGAAACTCTCAAGAGAGACATGGCCCTTTCAACTCGGTAGTGTTGCTACGCAGTAACATATCCTATTATCGATTGTCTTAAAATAGCTTTGTTTCATAACCTCGGAGGATTATACGACAACTCTGATATTTTAAAAAGAAAACAAAAAACCTGTTAACAGGCAAAAAGACATCGTAAGGTGTAAAAGACAAGAAATCTGCCAAGAAAAAACTTCTACGCATCACCGTTGTCGATCCCGGACTAAATTCTAGAAAATTCTTTACTGTTTGCAACGTCCGCTTAGACAGACTATGACATAACTGAATTTAATTAGTCTATGAAATTGCAGAGGATTATTAGCTAAGCTGGTATAAAGTGTCTGCCGTATGGCCCATTTTCTCACGGATAAAATGAGACACCGTGCTTAATTTTCTATCGTATTTTCATAATGGAAGATTGAATTGAACGCGTGACCTTTCGTCTCACCGGAATATCTCTGGAGCGAATTCGTCTACTCTTGTTAAGTACAAGGGCGGCTATGAACGTAAGGAATCCAGAATCTTTAAGCTTGTTTGATTGGACCTAATGGAACGAAATTAGAATGAAATGGCGCGTTATCACCACGCAAATAACCTCCGAACTGAATTATTACTGATGAGCTGTAGATGACTCCCGAGTTGTTTTCCTTAAACGTCCTACACATCAACCACCGAAAAATTGCATCATTTACTGTAACCAGGTTTTGTTAGCAGATAAAAGGCTCCTTCGAAGCATTTCGGTGTACATTGCACGACGTTTGACTGTGGTTTTCGCTGAGTTGTTTTTTCATGACCCGTGTGGGAGTTCATGGACATCTGTGCTAAATGGCGAATCAGTTTTTGCGGTTTCTTGGTACAAGCATTAAAACAACATTGAAATTCAACTCCATGTCATTTGTCACTAAGGGAAATAGAATTAAAGGTCATTATTGCAAACTTCAGCAAAGTGGAATTCTTCGGAAACCCGCCGTTTTCTTCATGGAAATATGTCGCTCTGTTTTCGTTAAAGCAACGCAACATTCTTCGAGGAAAATGTTAGCTTCAGCATGGACTGAATTTAAAGAACACATGCAGCCGGCAGCAATTTAGTAAACGCTTAGTCAACACTGAAATTAGCTCGTGAAATGACTGTTGCAGAATTCAAGATTTTATCTGGATTAGTGTTGCTAGCAGAGGACATCAGGAAATGTGATCATGTTACTCCTACGTAAATTTTACTCAGCAGAGATATGATGCCTCGTGCTCATCCAACTGTTTTTCTCATAGAAAATTCAATTTAAAGCAATCATTGTTAATTGCTTTACGGCGTTGAATGTTTCCCCAGATGTCTTTGCTAAGCATTTCTTTCTTTTTCGCCGCGAAATCCGCAGGATTTCTAACACTTTTATGGGTAACTAAACATCTGGTGTAGAAAACAGAGCGTTTTCGAGAATTTTCCCACCATACCGAAAAGGAATTGGGTACTTACAGGAAACTTTGAAAAGGAAATCTTGGCATCAAAGTGCCTTGAAAAGTATGCCTGACCTAGTTTCTCCCTCGGTTACGTAAGTAATATCTGAAATACTCACTAAAAAAAAGGCTTTTTCTTCCAGCTGGAAAAATCAGATAACACTTTAATTAAAGACCCATTTCATTAAAAGATTATTCTGAGGAATCCGACGATTACAACGAATATTTTAACCTAATCAAGTTCGCTGATGAGAAGCCCGGCCACTGCTGACATTTTATCTAAGTGAAACGTTTTCAGCTGTTATTATCAATTTATTGTCGTTTGCCCAGAATTCTTTCATTATCTGCGTGAATTTGTTGCCCCTCCAAGACATGGCACGCTTGGTGTTTTGCTTTTTTATAGTTTGCTTTCTGTTTAGCGTCCTCGACGAGAAACTACAGACCAATTTATGAAAAACTGTACGCAAATTCAAGGACCTTGCTTTGTATACTAAGTTTTGTTTTTGAGTTTTGATTTTCTGGGACAAAAACATTTTAAAGCCCTAATAAGATTTAAGTAAAAACATGACTTCATTATTATAAAAATAGCCAATAGATATGTTTACAAGGTGTTTCTCTTTGTTGACAGGATATAGTTTTATAAGTTGTTATTACTTCTAAAGATAAACTTGGAAAGGACATTTTCGGAGGTTTCATGAACACTTTTGACTGTACTGTCTTAGTCACTTTGGCAAAAATGAGGTCTGAATAAATATAACCAAGCAAGAAGACATAAACTAAACAGGCCCAGATCGTGGGAACGTCAGAGAGATTGGCAATCAGCCATAGATACACGGTTATTTTGACGCAAGGCCATGAACTCGAGCAAATACCTACTTAAACGTGCTCATAAATAATTGCTGTGCAGCTGTACCCCATGGCGTCTTCATCAGCGTGTCTCATATTTCAGTTTTAGTGGAAAATTCGACCAAACGCCTGTTAATCTTAGGAAGCAAAGCCAACTACAGTCATCAGTTGCACGTGCATTTGATGGACCTCACGGATTGATTTCTTATGGAAAAAAGCCAAGCCGTATGATTGCGTGTTCACAATTCAAAGATCTGACACCTGAAAAAAATGAGCCTGCATGAACTTACAGCTTTGCATCCCTTTTCACAGAAATTACATGAAAACGAAGTAGACGGGTTAGAAATTCGCAGATTGACGGACTCAGAGAATTTAAGAGTCGGGAGTCTCGTATCTTTCGTGGTATTCTCTTTCGTAGCGTAGGCCTTTAACGGGGATCCTAAGCCATCGTCGATCTTACTCAGAGGCTAAAGCCTCGAATTGCAGTTTTGAAGTGCTTCCCTGTTGGAAATCAAACATTTTGTGCTCCACATGCAAACCTCGATTTTTCTTTTTTTTTCTTCCTGATAGCACAAAATAATGAAGAGATCTCTGTATGAGGAGACATGTCCGCCACCATACATCATTGAAGTAACAGAGCAATGTAATGACTCATGTCGGGGAGATGATTACTGTGTAGGAAATAAAATGTGTTGTTACGATGGCTGCTCGTATGTCTGTATGGATCCTGTACCCTCAGAACCAGGTACTAACAGTTCTTTTATTTGTTTTTTTTTTTCCTTGTTTTTTTTTATTGTTGTTGCTGTCTCATTTGTTGCATAACCTTGGTGTCTTAAAATGCATCTAGGGCAAGTTTCAACTGAGTATCAAATGTAATCCGTGCTCTCATTTTTCTTGTCTTACGTCGCTCTCTGATTGTTTCAAAAAGCTCGCGTCACTCTCTTAGCCAATCACTTAACGGCTACCCGTGTTCCCTGCGCCTTAGGAAATTGTTCCTTGTGGCGTTTACCACCGTTCTGAATGGCTGCCACAATAAGAAGACTCCATTTGACGCAAATTGATCGATAAACGCTTTTCAATATACACGCTAACCTTTTTTTTGCAGTTTGTGCAAGGATTCCCGCTTTGCTACTACAAAACAGAACGTGATCAGCCATCTGACCCTCTAGTTTACTGTTTTGGTGAAAGATGGGTTTTCAACTAATTTTCCTATTTCCGTTTCTCTTGAACAGTTGTTGACTGGAATGAAGACGATAGTGTTCCACGTAAGAAGCTTCTTTTTTTTTTTTTAATATTTCCTGAACGCATATTTTACATTGGATTTAACCCTTGACCCACCGGAAGAGTCCTTCATTTTGCAAGCAATACAAAGGGCAAGACAAAAGACACAAGGAAGGAAAATTTTGAGGCGAGACTTAATTTTCGAACCTTGAACCCTCTGAGTGCCCAGCACCTAATTTCTTCCTTCCGTAATACAGCTGAATCGGTCATCACGATCATGGAAATGAAGGCAAGGATTACCAACCTAAGAAGCTTTGATTGCTTAACATATTCTCCATATCAGCACCAAAGTAAATGTATGGCTATGACCAGGGAGAATGTGAATACTGATGCTTGGGTATAACGGGTTATTGGAAAACATTAATTCAGAATTTTTAGTCCTTCCCGTATTTAAGTATTTTTCAGTTGATCTAAGTACGGAGGCAATAATCAATTCTTTCTTTTGAAGAAGAATTCAAAGTAGAAGAATTGGAGGTTGTGACACCTGTCGTGGAAGAACTAGGTAAGATAAATGAGCGTTCCGTAACAAACAAACATAATCACTCCTTATTGGAGGATGCCCAATCATTTTTTAGACTAGTTCCAGTTCCACGGCCGTTTTTCTCGCGTAACACACTAAAACGAGGGAGAAAGCGCGCTACGCGCAAGAACGATCACGTGATGCATTCCCTGTTTTCATACTTCGTTCGAGTTCAAGGCGACTAGCTAGACGATGACCGAGAAGGAAAAATGAAAAACAAACCTGTGAACAGACAACGTCAAAACTTCTCAGTAGCCTTTTAGTTCTCGTATGTTAATTAAACTCTGATTGTAACTAATGTTATTCATTTTTTGTCACAGGATGTTTTTATCATGACATGTTGTTAACCAACGGCGAAAAAAAGCCATTTGATTGCAGAGAATGGTAAGTATCCAGCGGACCTTTAGAACCACAAGTAACTAACTTTTTTTCTTTTGGTGACCTTTTGAACTTTGCTTTCTTGAAAGCCTTGAACCCTTAATAGAGTGACTTTCATTGGGTTAAAAAGTCTGCACGTTATCACTCCTGAATCAAAGATTAAAGGCACGAGAATGAAGGAAATAATCAATAACTAAGGAGCTGTCGATTGTTAAACAGATTCTCCTTATCAGTACCCTAGTTAGACCAGCTCACTGGCACCCTAACAACTATTTCATTATCCATTCAATTTGTTTTACTGAGTCTGATTGGATTGGATGTTTCTTTATTTTCAGCACTTGTTTCAATGGGAATCTGATGTGTGATGTATCAAAATGCAACAAAGGTAACTACCTCATTTTGTTCACCTGGCCCGTTTCCCAGCTTACTCAGTCGCACATGATCATCTCGTGTTCTTTCTGTGTCACTTGACGAAAGCTACCATTAACATTAGGCATGCGACTTAAAAAAAATTAAACCAGCTACTGTTGCATGATGTGCTTCCAGAACCACAGACTTAACTGACGCAATATGTTTTGCTTTCTCTCAGTCTTCTATATTATCTTTTCTCATTTCAGATTACCAAGCCCGTCGCTCTTTCCATGTCTCGGGGTCTGGCGACGATAACGATGACGATGACGACGACGGCGATAACGACATAAGAGGCAAAGGGTCTGGGAACAGCTTTTTTCCAGTCGTCGATGGCGTAGAACAGAAAGAAGACTTCATACCTTTTAGAGAACTCGAAGAAACAAAAGCATTTGATTCAAAAGGTCGCTTTACGACTTTAGGGCCAGAAATCAGCGGTGGTGGTGGCGATACGAGCGGCGGAGAAGGCGTAAAACAGAAACCTAGGTTTATATCTATTGAAGAACATGAAAATCAACAAAGAGAAGATAAGGAAAGGAAAGGGCTCGAACAGTTTTTAGGGCCAGAAATCAACGGTAGCGAATCGAGTGGCGGCAAAGGCGTAAAACAGAAAGAAGACTTCATACCGATTGAAGAATTCGAAAATGAAGAAGCAGAAGCATTTGATTCAAAAGGGCGTGTTACGACTTTTGGGCCAGAAATCAGCGGTGGCGAATCGAGCGGCGAAGAGGACGAGGTCAGTGGATCAGACAGGGACAATCTCATTCCAATTGACGAGGAAAGAACTACAGAACAAAGCGGTGACAATAAAGTTTCACTTGCCAGACTCTAGTAAGACCTTTCCTCTCGGACATACAATCTATAGCGATAGGAGCCATATAGGGTAACGGCACGTCACGCACCGCATTAAACATTACGGTCGGTGGCGATTCATTAGTCGTTCAGGGGAATGCGTGACTCTACTGTCACGCACTATTACGGCCAACATGACTTTTACTAATAGTTCTTTAAATCAACATCTGTACCCAAAAAGTAGAGAAACATAGGTTACGTGTGTCACGCCATGTAAATGGTGAAACAGCGTAAGAGTTCTGTTCAAGTGAAAGTATATTTCTCAGAAGCTGAGTTTACACAGAGTATGCGGATTATCGCAGTCATCTTTAGGAAACTAGTTTTCCAGTCACTGACCATAGAAACACGTTCTAAACAATTTGAATAGTCGACGAGATGTAAATATAAAGTATTCGAAAGTAGTGAGAACAATATTCAATAAAATAAAAAAACTGCAATAAAGTCAGTGCAAAGAAGCAGCATAATTTCCTTTCAATTGAGGTTGTCTTTACTAAGAAAGGATGAAATAAAAAGAAATAAAATCGGTCACAAGCGCAAAAGGATGCACGTTCTGTTTTCCTTGTTCATGAAATATTTCAGTTTAGACGTTTGGCACATATCAGTGGTTTGCCCTAGGACGAAGAGGGGGGCTATCTACGGGAATTTGACTGAGAGGAGCCCTTTAGGTGAATATTTTGATATTTACACACTGCCTTAGGGTCGAAACTTGATCTAGGCGCCATTTTCAAAGACCCCGTGAAACTGGAAATTGGACTAATCTGATGAAAGTTGTTTGTCGATATTGGTCTACAACGTCTTTGATCCCCAGGGAGGGTTATTTTACTTAAGCTGGATACCCTAAATTCAAATTTCCCTCCGATTACACTGATCCAATAGACCAAGACCGGTGTTGTTTGTTTTCGATAGAGATGAGGGATACACTGCAGAAAGTTTCTCTAGTTTTTGTGATTTATGGTTCGTCCATCAGCCAAGAGATTGACTTGTTGAAGATTTAAGAGAAAGATTTAAGAAATCTAACCCAGACGTCCAGCCACATCTAAAATATCCAGATTAAATGGTTAGGCCAAATTCTTAATAGAACACCTCTTCGGCTCCCTGTAGAGAGAGTCCTTCCTGGCATTAAAGATTTCGCATTGCCCCCTTAACTTTAGTTATTACTGCGACAAAGACGCAAAAGAGTTGTTTGTAAGCGGTTACAAAAACAAACTCTTTGGCAAATAATCGTTAAAAAGACTACTTTAAAGGTAAAACGTGGTAATCCTAACTTGCACACAAATCTTCGAAGAAAACCACTATCCAACCAAGATACTGTCGGTCACACACGCTACAAGCGCAGGCGATACTTGCTAGCTAACTTAAAACTTTTATTTGCACGTAAAGGAGCCTGAGCACAGGTCTTCATCACCAGCGGCTGCTGGAGGAGCGTTTCTCCGCCCGCAGGAAGAGTTGAGACGAGTCGGGGGAAAGGTCTGCCGGGGGTCTGGCACTAATATCGCTGGCTTGCGGGTGAAGAATTGTCGCTTTGCGACGCTAGTTATGCCGTCATGCAAGCTCGGGATTCTTTTAACAGAATCCACCAATACTAGCCTCGTGCAAAATTTTAATCACATTTTTTTTATTATTGTCACATCACTGTTGATAATCACTCGGGATAATCACTCGGGATACTTACATCAAATAAGTTACACGTGCTAAGCCTTGTGTAAGCAAGGTAAAAAATAAATAAGCACGTTCAAAACCGAAAAAAAAAAAACTATTTTGAAAAGGAAAATAGTTGAAAAACAGTTATAATTGTATTTCATTAAAATCAATTTTCTTCCTGCTACACTATAGTTAGTCTTGTCACGCAACGCACGATCACACACTCCGCGTGCCACTCATTCCTTATAATATTAGCTACGATAATTTGATGTTGAGTCAGCTAGGATCTTCTATTTCATATTTTTTCTTAATCGCGTGACCTATCGCTCGATGATGTAATGATATCGTGAGAAAAAATTGCAGGACGTGGAAGGGATAGGGGTTCATTGGAATCAAAGACCATACGCAGCATGAAAATGCACGAAAACATATTAGATATTCACCTACTTAGTGCCAATTTAAAATTGTTTACTATGCGAATCATCATCTAGTTTAAAAGACACAGTCAAAAGGATAAAATGTTAAGGGAATAAAAGTCTAACCAACGCATTTTGCGTCAATATGCAAATCTTTTAAAACAAATATAAATAAAAGACGGAAAAGATGAAAAAAACAATGATAAAAGCAGTGTAAGCTTCAGGTAAAACGCTTAAAAAAAAAAAAAATTAAGAACCCTAAAACCCAATAAAACGATACACAAGCGAAAGAAATTACAAATAAAATGTTCATGTTGTGGACTTTCTAGTCTTGCGCAAAGGGCTTAACCCTGGAGTTGTTCGGCGAGACAGCGATGATGCAATCGGAGTTGTTCGGCGGGATGGCGACGAATATGCCGGAGTGCTAGTTGTGGGCTTGTCGCTCGGGAATCGTACCGGAGGCGAGGCCGACTTGGTTCGGCGTATGGGCGAAGAGGAAAAGCTCGCATCCACGGAGTCTTCGAGCTTTTGTGACTCGCGCTCGAGGATCGAGGGCTCGTATACAGTGTCACGTGCCACAGTGTGTAGCGAATCTTCAAGTTTTCCTCGAAGGTCGCGGATTTCATCGGATTTCTGAGCAGTGCGCGTGATATAGGACTGCTTCTTTTGTAATTCCTTAGCCAGCTGGTCTTTCAAAGTAGAAACCTGTGCAAAGTAACATTTAATTCCATAATTATTTACCGTTTTTGAGAGTATGGTCTATTCAGGGTATAAACGGGTCCCGCACGTTCATAAATTCCCTTGGTATACTCGGCTACACAAAAAAGAGTTAGGCATAAAACAACAATATTCACAGTCTCACAGCGGGATTTCCAACCCGTAGAATTCGACCTTTTCTTGCTCTATCAATTTCTCATAGAAAGTAAAGAAATTGATTTTGTGTACTACGGAAGAAAATATTAGCTCAATTTTTTTTTCATTCAACCTTGATTGACATCAGGTGATCTGGGTAGAGCACAAACTAGCGCACATTTCTCGCTTTAAAGACAGTGTTCAAAGAAACTGATAATTCAAGAGGTAGTTACACACTTCCCTTCCTCGCATTTTCCCAACCAAGTAACACCCGCTAGAAACAAGGCAAAGCCAATGAAATGTTGAGAAAGACAGCTTACTTGTTCCTCCAGTCCCTTGACACGTTGTTTGTGCGCACGCTCTCTGGCCATCTGGGTCTTCTCCAACTGGCCTTGAGATTGTTTGGCCCTCTCGCTTTCTAACTCTACCTCCTGCCGATGTCTACTTGTTAACTCAACCAGCCTAAATTTTGAAAATAGACAAACATTATCTCCTTAGGACACTTTTTGTCTTTGACGCTCATACACTAGAATTCTTCACAAGACAAGAAGATATGCCCTATTAATTAGCTTTGTGTCATTCTAGAAAGCATAATGGTACCAATGAAGTAGTCTATTATTCATCCCCGTCGAAGAGGTATCTATATTGGTTGATCATTTTTCTTGATACTTACTTTTGCGCATGCGCGTGCTCGGTATCAGCTATCTGTTGTTGCAGAGCTTGAATCGTCCTCTGCATTTCTTGGTTATCCTGTTCGTATGAGCTGCTTGACCGGTCCAACTTGTCACGCTCGTCGCGCAATCTTGTGCTTACTTCTTCTGCTTCAAGTTTCTCACGTTCGATCTAAGATTGCCACACCGAGGAAAGTCACAAATAATTAGTACTGCAAATAATGTTAGGTGTTCTCTGGTAGCTTCTCCTTCACAACGCACACACAAATACGGAAGAAGTTTTATTCGATTCTCCGCTTTATTCTCACCTTATCAAGAGTGTTCCTCAGAGCTTTCTTGTCCTTCTCAAAACGGACATGCGCTCGCTCCAGTTCTCTCTTCTCTTGCTCAGCACCGGCCAACCCTCGTTGGAAGTTCGCCAAGCGATCTTGTAGTTCACGCTTCTCTTCCTGTAGTTTACCAATTCTCGCCACAAGTTCTTCTTCGGCTTCTTTCTGTTGTTGTAACATTTGTTGCAATTGTCTGATTTGACCCTCCAACTCCATGCGTCGAACCTGACAAATACAGATAAGGTAACATTCAGCCAAGATTTCCCGCACATGAAACAGGTTACTGATATGTGGCGCGATTTGAAACTAGCGGTGTAGCTACTCCACTTTTTCACAGAGTTAACTAGTCTAAAGAATTCAGCCACACCTTCTTGATAACTAACTGTAAACAAAGGGGACTGACAATAAGAATAACAGAAACTGTGCATTGCGATATAGAAGGGACCTTAAGCAGTCAGGACGGCAACGCCAGGGAAGACGTCGATTAAAAAAGGATTCCTACTTATGACTAGAATTTCGAAAATGGCCGCATGTGTTTACCGTCTCATACGGCCCCACATCTCAACATCAGCCTAACGTATAAAAGTAGCGTTGAGTTCCAAATGGAAATTAAAATAATTTGCCGTCGCGGTTTCCGTTCGCAGACGACACAAATTTTTGTGATTTCACGTTGTTGTTTTGCGAAGTACGGCTAAGGAATGTACAAAGCTTTGAAACGCACGTGGTGAGCCATTGTGCTACCAATTAGATCTTTTGTTTTTCCACGTCCTCATTGCCGTCGCCGTCGTGATCTGCTTAAGTTCCCTAATTTAACCTTCGCGCCGGCGGATGGGAAAAAGAAAGAGGGGTCCAAAGGAAACAAGAAGAAATGGTTATGTTCACCTATACAGAAATTGTCACAGCAAAGATAAACAGACCAGGGTGAAACATAAGAGTTAATGGCCGTATTCTCCCAGAGGGAATCTAACATGTAGTGAAGTAATCAGAGCTTCAGAGGAACAGAAAAAGGAGGAAGGCAAAAGTATACCTCAGCATCGGCTTGCTCGTTCTTCATCTGTTGCATACGGTCTTGCTGTACATTGTTTCGGTTCTTGGCGTCCTGCTGAGCTGCCTTCAGAGCCTCCAGTCTCTCTGCCATGATTTTGCGGTCATGCTCACTGTTGGTAAGAGCGCGCTGCATCTGCTGCAGCCTCTCTTGAAGGGACTGGGAAGTGGCGTTGCTGTCATTCAGACTAAGTGACAGCTCGGTCACCTGTGCAAAACACAAAATTGATGTGTTACTAGTTGAACTCAAAATGGATGTATACTACCTCTTTCAAGGTAAGAGCGACTTTGTTTTGAGAACTTTGCTCTTTAGCCACTTCTAACAGCTTCGGTAATCACCTTTTCCTTGAAGGCCTGTTCTTCCTCTTCTGTCTTTGCCAAGGCAAGAGTGAGCCTGTCCACAGTGAGTTGAAGTGAAGTGGCACGTGACTCGAGTTCTTGCTGCGACCTCAACAACTGATCGATACGCTCTCGGAGGGCTTGCTTCTCAGCTTCACCTTCAGTCGACTGCATCCTAAGTCTTTCAATGTCACCTGACGAGCGAAAACAAATAGCAACAACGCTCTTAAAGATTCTTAAAATAATACTTTTACCCGAGTGGGAAAATCAAATTATCCAAAACGTAGGCTAAGAAATATGTTTAATTTAACATTTTACCTTCCAGGGATCTCTTCCTTAGTTCAACTTTAGTCAGCCTCGATTCGGCGTTCTCGATCTGCGCACGCATAGCTTCCTTCTCCTGATCGCTCTTGGATTCACTTTGCTGAAGCTGAGCAACCTTGTCTCGTAACTGTCGGCGCTCTCCTTCGGCCTGCGCGAGACTGGAGTCAAGTACTGATATTTTTTCGTTCAGCCCTTTGCGCTCTCGTTCCAGGCGCCTAATTGTTTCTTCTTGAAGCATGAGCGCAGTCTGGGCGCTACTCAGACGACCATCTGCACCACGGCGACCTGAGAACAAAATAGAAATATGGCTGTCAAACAAGGCTCTTCGTAGGGTTCCCACCTTCCCAATTTTTTGGGGAAAAAAAGCAAATAAATTCAATCCTTCTACGCAAAGAGAAAAAGATATTTAGCAACCACTAGTGTAGGAACATACCCTCTTCTGCTTCTCCCAGTGACTTCTGCAGCGCCTGTAGCCGCTGGTCAGTGTGCGCCTTCTCCTCTTCCATCTCAGCAAGAGCCCTTTGTAAGTTATTGGCCTTTGTCATGGATTCGTCTCTCTCTCGTTCAGCTTCTTTCATGCTCTGGGCAAAGTCTCGCAAGGCAGATCGGACAGTCTCGGGATCAATTTCGCCAGATAGTTCCATTGATTTACCGGGAGACAATTTCTTTCCTGGAGACATTGTACCAGAATCTACGGTCTCCTCCAAAGCTTTCTCCGGTGAACGCGAACGACTTCTACCGAACATCTTACGACGGGGACTCGGGCTTCGGGCGCGAGTCGGAGAGGGAGTCCTGAAAAAATTATGAGAGGAGAGTTTCACAATGAGATCATGAATATAAAAGCATGCAAGTTTATTTACACGATTTTGTTATTTAGGGAAAAGAGATTAAACGAGATTTAGCGCAAATGACCTTCCTACTAGTAAAAGAGTTAAAGTTTACCTTCCACTCATTTCCCCAGGCGGTTTAATTCCAAGGGTTCTTCTCAGAGTTGAATGCAGACTGGCTAGTTTGAACTCCAGATCGTTCTTTGATGACTCCATGCGCGCCAGTTGCGCCTCCAGACCAGTGATACGTCCTTCTGATCCGGACAGCTTCAGTTTCAGGTCACCCTTGTCTTGGCTGGCATTTTCCAACACATTTTCCAGATTCTTGACCTTGTCATTTGCCTTCTGTTCGGCACGACGAGCCTCGTCCACCGCAGCGCTGTAGTCTTTTTCTCTGACGCGGTTGTCTTCCTCCATCTCGGTGATTTTCCGGGTCAAGTTTTGGATTTCCCGTTTGGCACCTTCCTTCTGGCCGTCAGATTCGACAAGTTTCTGTTTCATGTTGAAGTTATCTTGTCGCAGCTCGTCTATCAAATGCTCGTCCTTGGCGAGTTGATCTTTGAGATCAGAGATTTCTTTCTTGCTCTTGAGACATTCACCGTCCAGCATCTTGACCTGAAGGAAAGTCAACAGTACAAATCTTTAGTCACAGAAATGGCATCTTGCATCCCTGGGACCATCATTTAACCTTTATTTGCCTGGCAAACGAAACATTCTTTGCTCAAAAACGAGCTACTCCGTGGCAAAAATGGCTAAAAAGAAATGTAGGAAGTACCCACATGTTTGCAAAATTCTACCGACCTGGTTGTGAAGTTGTTGTAATTCCCGTCTGGCCTCGAGCCGTGCCTTCTCCACTTCTCTCAAACTTGCCCTCAGTTCTCCAGCTTCTTTCTGCAGAGCAGCTTTTGTTTCCTCAAGAGACGCAATCTTTTGTCCCGCTTCGTCGAGAGTCCTCCTCAGATTCGTCTTTTCCGCTTCGCATTTCTTTACCTTTCCTCTCAGTTCGTTAGCTGTTTCTTGCACTGCTTGTTTTTCGCGCTCTTCATCCTTAAGCTGTCTCTTTAAGTCTGTATTCTCCTTTCGAGCAACTTCACGAGCCTCCTCGCCCTCTCGGATTTTCCGATGAGCGTCGATGAGTTCCCGACGGACGCCGTCTCGAGCCTCTTCGACCATCTTGAGTTGAAGTTTAAGTTCGCTAACTTCTCGCATGGTGTTCTCCTTGACTCGGGCCAAGTCTTTGATTTGATTCTTCAGTTCCGCAGTTTCTGCTTGATAGCGATTGCTGAATGTACACAGAATTGCAAAATTAAATCTTCAAGCATAAGACAGTACATGACCTGATAGTATTAACGAAGAAATTACAGTGGACGGCATCAAAGCACTTCTATCTTAAACTACAACACTTACTTGACGTCTTCAAGTTTGCTTCTTGTATTCCTCAACTCATTCTGTGTCTGTGCTAGGGTGCCCTTCAGAGAACAACAACACTACTATGAACAAGTATTCAACTATGGCCGGTAAGCGTGAGTGACTAAGAAAGCTTGTTCAGTGACTAAGAAAGCTTGTTCAGCTAGTATGTCTGATTATGAAAGTATGAACAATTACGCAAACCGACAGACACAGCCAAACGGCCAAACGGTCCGACAGACATAAAGAGGGAAAGTTTCTAAAGAAACCGTGGTGCTGCGTCGATGGGGGTAACAAGGTAATTTGGTTCTATCAACTCAGTTGAAATTGTAAATTGGCCACCGTAAAGAGTTAAAAAGCTGACGTTTCGAGCGTTAGCCCTTTGTCATTCGCTCTGACGAAGGGCTAACGCTCGAAACGTCAGCTTTTCAACTCGTTATGATGGCCAATTTGCAAATTGAACCTTTTATCATTTTATAGTGCCGCTGATATTCGGCAAAAGATTCAGGTACGCTGTACGAATTATCAAGAATTATCTGTGCGGGCGTGGTAAGGGTTACCCAGCGAGCAGAGGTCTCTTCACTCTTCTACCTCTGCTCACAGCGTAGGTAAGGGCCACATAGAGTGAATTTTAGAGGGGTTGGCCAGTATTTCCTGACTGATTTTTCCTTATTTAATGAATATCGATAAATTATTTTACCAAGTAAATCCATACGCAATTACAAATACTATCGCCA